TGATTGCTGTATAGTGAAGGGAAACTGACAGGACAAAACATACGTTTTTAGAGAGCTGAGATCCTCCTCAATCCAACAGTGCCAAAGTATCCACATGTAAATCGGCAAAGCTGAGGAGCAGGGTCCAGTCAATTTTATGATGGACTGATGCATTGGGCATTTGGGTGTCCTTTCTGTTTGCTAGCATAAGCATAAATGTATAACTGACAAACACTCAGTCTATTCGATAATTCTGAAAGTCATTGCTCTGGACTGCCTAATAATGTAGTAAGTAGACAAAACTTGATGGACGTGCTGGAGAATTCATGCAAATATTACGTCAATGAGTGTTTTGATCCACGAGTCAAACATGATTCAAGAAGAGAAGCATTGCGATGAGGTGAGAAGCATTTAGATGTGGATGCAGTGAATCGTTGATTAATCGCTAAAAGCTTTTGGTCTAAGATGTAAAATTTGCTTGGTGGATGCAATAATATAAAGTGAATGAGTTGAAAGGTACTGCGGAAGCGATGAAATATATGTAAAATGTGTTTATTGACGTTTGATAGAGGAAAACATACCAAATTGCGTCCTTTTCTTGCAGCCTACGACGACGACGAGCAATTAGAGCATCGTTCAAGACGTAAACCACCACCGCCACATCTACTACCTCCACTTCGAGTTGCACCATCATTATTGTATCGCCACTCGGACCAACGTCACAATTCAATGTTTAGCCTGAATAATTACCATCCACCTAATCAGAATCCCAGTCGCATTCGTAACCATCAGTATCATCAAACGAAGAAACCCAACAATCCGATGTCGCAACGTTCTCAGAAAACGGTCACACTTACTTCGATGGACAACGCACTGTTTTACAAGTACGTTTCCATAGAGAGATTTTTTTTCGACATTTTTCACCCTTTCAAAATTTCATTCTCCGAAGATGAATAAGCAAAGTCGACACCTAATTAGAGTTGCATTCATTTAATTAGATAGATTTGATCAATTCTTCATAATGTACTCAGAAGTGATGATCAAATTATGAAAGATTGAAACTAATCGTATTCAAGCTATCCAGAAAGCATTGCTTGTAATGATGAAACAATGTATAGTGGATGGTGGTCGCTTGATTAACGACATTTTTTTTCAGCAAGCGAAATCTCTTCCATTACTGTAGTCAGCTATGCGTAGACATTAAAAATACTTCTTCAAAAGCAAATCTAACTTGACGAATCTCCTCAGATTTTGTTCCTTTTCAAAGAAAGCGATATGAAATCTCATCTGGAGCTGTTTTCTTTTCTGGGTGACTTTGTTCATGATGGAATCTTCTCGCATTAACACGACTGTTTACTTCAATCTGCTATACTCGTTCTTGGAAGCACATGTACAGATGAGAAAAGAGTTACTTCAGATTTAAACAGTCCAACATTGCTGTGATGATACTGAGTGCCTTGATCAAATTGTTTCACACGCAATTGAAATAATAATTACAACAGTTTCCAAAGTGTTCATGTGAATAAAATTGTATTTCTTATGAAAGTATTGTATTTCTTGTTTTTATTTATTGTAACATCAAGAATTTATTGCTTTTCGTATGAGTGCACAGAGCAAATCCGTTATTCCTTGAAAATTGTCTGCATTCTAAAAGCAATAAGCATTCTTGTTATCTCTGTCATTTGAATGGTTCGTTGAAGCTGTTTGATCTCGAACTGAGCAATAGAACAACATCAATTCATTTCTAACAAGCAATAAAATAATACAATAACATCACTGAGTTTTACTAATGAAACTTCAATGTGTTTGCACTAAACTTGTGTGATATTGCATGATGAACAAACGATTTATTGTTCTTAACGAGTCTCGTTAAATACCTATTGTCACAATCGAAATCAAATCTCGTCAGTCAAATCACCTTNTAATAACGATTGAAATAATGCTCATAACGACCTTAAAAGCAACAGTATTTAAGATGGAAATTAACTCTGTTAGCGCATTGTATGATTTTATTTCGTAATGCGTCAGTCTGATTTTATTTCATAGCATGGCAGTGTTCCTTTATGATCTTGTCGCTCCTCTTGTTGAGAAATTTCGGTGGGTGATTTCATATTTTTTGATTTCAAATTTATCCTCAATTCCTCTCATGTAACACGTTGAAGCAACAGTCAGTTGTTCTCCACACCTTGTCATTCGTTACATTTTGCTCACTAGCCTAGTTTTTGGCTTGCTTTCTTGCAATATCAATGACTTCATCGAAACTGTTGTCTCAAAAAACTGTAACCTAATGACTTTCCTATTGATTTAAGGGATGCAACATCACTTCAGATATCACATCAGTTTGAAAGTGCAATTACAGAGACAATAATAAATGATTAGAAGTGCAAGAAGTCTTGTCGTTTCATCAAATCTGAATGCTTAAAGAGAATTGTATCATCGAAATTGTTGACATGAACGATTGAAAGTGTGCTGAGTGCTAAAAAATGATAGTCACATACTTCACATACATTCATATTCTCAGATTTATCTAGATTCATTTATCTAGATTCATAGATTGCCATTGAATATATCCGCACATGATAATTATCAGTAGCGATTGACGAGTAATGTGTGTGTGTCTGTGTGCTGCTTTATGAGCTCGCTGTTGTCAAGGTAACAACATCAGGTTTTACTCTGATATTTGACATTAAAACTCGGCTAGCAGTATTTTAAATACCAAAAACAGTTAACATCTGGGCATAGCGCTATTATGCACGTTTANCATTGCTGTGATTGATTTTTTCCTTGGCTATCACCAAATTATTCAGGTACTTCTTAGGTTCTCCTTATTCGCATGCTTGCTTCCCAGTCCAGTCCAGTGCAGTTCAGTTAAAGGAACCAAAATTGACAATTTGTCCATCCAATCCATCAATAGAATTTTCATCCGTCCGATTCCATTGAAATTGAAAACAAAAAAGAAAGAAAACAAGATGAAATGGGCTGTTTCTTTGGTAATTTTTGGTGATGTCTTGATTGAAAAGGCACTAGTGGGCACCGTTTCCAGGCAACTCTCGTTCAGTGCCAAGCAATTCTAAACAATTGTTGATTGGCATTTCCAGTCCATCAGTCTTTTCGTACCATCTGAGGGCTTAACGCTTGCTTGTACTGGCCAAACCAGTTATTTAGTCAATAGAATAATGGAGCACTTAAGTTAGCACCTCAACAACAACAATTCGGCATTCAAATCCTATCATCACTGCCCAAATTCCTCGCGATTCATTCAGTCGATCTGTCATTCAGTCAGTTATTCGAGTATGTTTGCGATGACGCAAATAGAATCCCTTCCCGATAATCCGAGTCGACTTTCCTTTTATGAAACTTATAAGTAGGTTGTGTTGTGTTCTTATTTATTCCATCTTACTTCAACAAAACACCAAATTTATTCTCAAAAGAATCCAAACAATCTGAATTTTATACGCAGTTCATTTACATTCATCAAAAATCTTCGCTGGTGACTTCAGAAAACTATTTGTCAAAAAATCTCTTATGAACGATCATTCTCTCTGGCTCTCAGGCAATGAGCATACACCATAACTAGCTAACTACACGCTTCATTCTCCGTATCTCGTTCAGGCACTTTTCACTGCTGACACAATAATTACTCGAATACATCACTTGTTCATTAATATCCACGGGATGCTGCTTGAAGAGCTTTTGTTAACTGACGCATTTTCGTTTTACTTTGCGTTAGTTTTGAAGGAAATGAAAATTTTTTCGGATAGATAGATAGAAACAAATTTGATCTTGCGGAAGTAGCATTTTGACTTACGACTTATTAGTGAAAGCTTAAAAGATCAACTCTGTCGAAAATTGTAGTAATACATTTCGTCAGTATGTTAAATCTCACTTAGATATCCGTTATCCAGGAGCGGATGTGCACAGATTTTCTCAACATTTCAGAAATATTTAACAGTTATAGTGTCTATTCCGTCACTTTTCTATTGCTTCAATTCCACCACTTGTATTGGGTGAAAATCCTCACAGTTAATCAGAAATTCATACGGAGCCGCAGATGGCTGCTCGTATTGCTACTGGGCTTTCAAAAGTTCATCCATCGGAAAAGTTTGGATCTGAAATTGATAAGTAGATATCATTGAAAAAAAGATTATATGCATAGAATGTGGAGACGTTCTGGAGCGATTCTTATTTTCTGATGTTCTTTTTATGACCAACTGCAGATCTTTTGATATCATCAAACAAACGACATATTTTTGCCTCCTAATTTGCCTCAAAGAAACTAACAAATAGAATGACGGTTTCTTTTTTGCTGATCGTCGAATGAATGCAATTTGTTTGTTGATTTGCAGAGGTGTGAAACGAAAACCGTTGATAATGGATAAGTATGAAAAACTCGGGAAAATTGGCGAAGGTTCGTACGGAGTGGTATTCAAGTGTCGCAATAAGGAAACTGGACAGGTAAAAAGGAGACCAATTATCTCTTATTCCCGTTTGTTTTTATCATTAGCTCGTCCCGGCCTAACAGTGTTTTCATTTGTTTTAGCAGAGTTTTCATTCTTTTCCTTGGTGTTCCAATCGCTCTCATAGCTTTTATCACCAAAAGTGTTCTCTTCTATTAATTTCTCATTCATTTCACTCAACAGTTAAAGTCA